CCGCGATGCCGCCGGGCTCTGGGGACCCCCAGCGGGGTCGGCTGGGCGCGCTCTGTCGCGTGGAGGGGCAGCGCCACCCGAACAGGCCGTCTCGTCTGCGCCCTCCGTACCCCCTTAAGGACCGAAAGGAGGGCGAGGCGGAGGCCGCCAGCCCGAGTGGGACCCCGCTGTGTGTCTCCTAGTTAGGAATCGTCGTTGGAGAAAATGGAGGGGGAGAAGCGACCGGCGCCCTACGAGGGCCTGTTTGCGGACGGGCATCTGGTGCTGTGGACGCTGTGTTCGGTGCTGCTGCCCGTGTTCATCACCTTCTGGTGCAGCCTCCAGCGGTCTCGCCGGCAGCTGCACCGCAGGGACATCTTCCGCAAGAGCAAGCACGGGTGGCGCGACACGGACCTGTTCAGCCAGCCCACCTACTGCTGCGTGTGCGGCCAGCACATTCTGCAGGGCGCCTTCTGCGACTGCTGCGGCCTGCGCGTGGATGAGGGCTGCCTCAAGAAGGCGGACAAGCGCTTCCAGTGCAAAGAGATCATGCTCAAGAACGACGGCAGGGCCGTGGACGCCATGCCCCACCACTGGATCCGGGGCAACGTGCCCCTGTGCAGCTACTGTGTGGCTTGCAAGCAGCAGTGCGGCAACCAGCCCAAGCTGTGTGATTACAGGTACGGCCTCTGTGGGTGCCTCTGTCTGCGTGCCTGTGGGAGTCGGGATTTCAGAGAGCGGTTGCCGTGGCCTGCTTGGATCTCTGCAAATGGCCTAACCTACCCACTTGAAGGAAAACAAGCTAGTATGCATCCTTGGTGTTGTCCAGGCGGGGCAGCTTTGCGATAATCATTTGCTGGCATGATGCCTGTGGCTTCCATTCAGTCACCTGCCCTGTGGGTGATAAAACTTGGCTCATAACGCTGTCATCCGGAAGACCCGAAGGAAGCACTATGTGCTTCGTGAGTCCTATAATAGTTTAGTTTTATTAACTGTTTTCTCTCTTTTAGATAAGGAAAAATTAAGTATGGACAAATGAACTTTTTCATAGACCCACAAAACTGATTCATGCTTAGCATCATACCATTAGTGTTGAATGAAAACAAGTGTCATTACAACGTGACGCTTTAAAGTTCTTTCACCAATATAGTTATTAGTGCTAGAGTGAAATATCCTCAAAAAGAATACTTAAAGGGATATGAACACCTTTTATCATATGGCCTTTCGGGACTTTGTAGCATCTTAGACAATTGACTTTGCTTAAGCCAAGAATAGTTTAATGGCTTTTAAATACACAGTGGACAACTAAGTTTGTGTTCTTAAGTATTAGTTGAAAGTCGATGAAGATGTCCTTTGCTTTTGTAGAGATTGGTTAAAGAAGATGCCACTTTGCAAATCACCTATACTCACTCATTTTACGGTAGAGAGAATTCTCCTCAATGGTAAAATAGAACTGGTGGCCAAGACAGTGTCAGGAATACTAACATTTAGCCTTGTCTTAGGTTATGTCTGGACATGTTAATTTTGATGGGTTTTATTTCTGACATAAAAAGAAAGCCCTAAGCATGTTTAAGATGAAATAGAAAGGTGACACTAGATAGCAAGTTACTTTTTTTTCTGCATAATAAAATTTTATTTAAAAAATTCTTAAATTAGAATGAAATTATATTAGAATGGCCCTGGCAAGTCAGTATCTACTTTAAAATCTTATTTTACATACTTTTCCATATTATCATATTATCAGATTTAGAATTAAAAGTAAATTTTCAAAAAATTAGAAGCAGCTACAAAGTTCTGTACCCATTTTTTTATTAGCTTTCACATTTACATGTTTTTCTTTCACCATCAGTGAGAGCTAGGTTACAACTTTCTTTAAATAAATTTCTTATTTCTCTCTGTATTTAAAGCTTTAAGTTGGAAAGAAGAAATGAATTGAGTATTGCTATATATCCTTCCCTTCTTTGTGTCTTGGTAAATAAGATAAAAATGGCTATGATAAATATCTTAATTTCAAATACTCCTGAACTGATAATTGCAGTGTTTCTGATCACTCAGTGATCTTTCTAGAAATATATATCTGACTGAGTCCCTGTTCAGCATAAAACCCTTCAGGTGTTCCTGAGGCTGACACTAGTGGCCTTTCAGTGTAAAACACCAGATCTTAACACAGTGCACAAGGACTTACATGCTGGACCCAGCCTGCTTCTAGTCTTATCTACTACCACCAGCATTAAATTTGATGTACCACAATCAAGTTTAATTTGGTTGTGGTTTCCTTAAAATATCAGGTTTTTTCTTTTTATTAAGATTCCCTCTCTGTCTTAAGCATCCTTCACCTAACTTCTGAGACTCATTGTGTCATTTCATCCCAAACCCCAGCCCCAGGATGGTGACATAAATCCATAGCTCATTGGCTCTCAAAGTAAGGCTACCAAACCATCAGCACCATTTGAAAACTTGTTAGAAATTCAAATTCTGGAGCTTCTAGGAGAAAATAAAATATATGCATTTATACCAAATTATTATATGTTGTTTATTTGAAATTCAAATATAACTGAGCAGCCTCTATTTTTGCTGGCAATCCTAGGCCCCCTAAATCAAATACTGGGGCTAGGACCTCAACATCTTTGTTTTAACAGGCCATGCATATGGCCCTGAATATATACTTGTTAAAACATGAGCGCTCGTAGCCTTAATTTTTGCCCTCCCCAGTGAGCATAATGACATGACTGTGGGGCTATACCAGCTTTCTTTACTAGCTTGTTCCTGGTGACTGAGTGTCTGTCCCCAGCATGCTGCATGCTCACCTGTGACAGAACTGGTCTCTGTAATCTGGGGGTGTTTGTTATTCTCAAAAGAAGAATACTGTGTCCTCAGGTCTGTGTTCTGCGGTGCTCCGGTAATTTTATGCAGGATTATCTTCTGCCTTGACATTCTGTAGGAATGACAGGTTTGGGGAAGGAGAAATACTTCTTTAGAATCTTCAAACACAGATTCTGTTTTACCCAACTCCGGGCTACGTACATGTTTGCAGAACCAGAGAATTTAAGTGAACATTTAAGACTGTTTGGTCTACAAATTAACATTTCAAAGAATGATAATAACTGATGTTTAAAAGCCTGTAGACCAACTAAACCCAGCAGAATAAGTAAGAGTGGCCCTTTAATTTATAATTATTCAGTCAATAGATGTCACATACTGAACATCTATTTAGTGCCAGGCACTGTAGATTTTACTTACCCTGTAGAGGTTTTTTTTTTATTGTTGTTGTTTTCCTGTCCCCAAACACTACAGTGTGTTTCTGTATCTAGGGTTAGTCATTTGTTCCCTAAATTTCCTTTTTTTTCTTTTTACTTCCCTTCTTGCTAAAATAGGAAATTAGGTTATATATTTTTAAGTATTACATTTATTAAATGAATCTTTGTTCCCTATAATGTCCTGCCTCTTATTTAAAAAATTTAAGGTTTCTAAAGCCTTTTTTCATTATACTTTCCCCCCTCATACCTCTCTACCTCACTTCCTTCAGCCCCCACCTCACTCTCACCCCTGCCACACACACACAAACACACAAGTTCATGAAACGAAGCTGCTGATTCTTAAGTAATCACACTGCTGCTGGCTTTGAACTAATTTGCTTCTGTTTTCTGTTCATGTATGTATATACATTTAATTAATTATGTAAAACAATGAACGATAACGTATTTTAGAAACGTGGGCAGACTTTATCTGTAAAGACTCAAAACTAAATACTTTAGACTTTTCAAATCATATGGTTTGTCCTAATTATTTAACTTTGCCATCTATCACAGTACCAGCTCAGCCTTAGATAATACAGAAATGAATGTGTATAAATGTTTTCCACTAAAACTTTATTCACAAAATCAGGTACAGACATACTTATAATTTGTAAACCTCTGTTCTACTGTAAATTTCATAAATGATCATCCTAACTTTACATTTAATACTGCTGCCTTCTCCAAAATACTGAAGAAAAAAGCTATTGTGGACAGATAAATATTTATGAGAAAATTATAGAGTCACCAGCAGTTCGTTCTCCCCAACCCCAAATTTTTTTTTAAATAGAAAGCAGTCATATTCCTGTACAGGAATAGCACACTAAAAAATAAATAATGGCATATAAACTAATGAAGCATTCCATAATTTCATATGAGGGAATTTCTAGGGTAGTACTCTATGTCTTGATAAGAATTGTAGTTATATGAATATGATTGTCAAAAATCAGCAAACATACATTGTACACTTCATTATATGTAAAATTTAGATCAAAAGAAAAACCTACAAATAAATTATGAATTCTATATAATTAATATGCCTGTTTGCTAAAGTATTTAGAAAGTAATCTGATGCCTGCAGCTTCAGATGCACCAAAAATATAGTGGAGAGAAATGTAACAAAGCAATTACAGTAAGATGTTGGTGCTACAGGACAGGAGGGCAAACTTTGCTCACTGTAAAAAATTAAAAAGTAAAACATTTTAAATGGAAGAATACAGTCTTTTTGAAAATACTTGTTGAAGCTTTGAAGGGTGAAATCTAGTCTGCACGTGAGTTTTCAAATCATTTAGCAACTGTTGGGGGAAATAATTAAGAATCAGGGTGATGGGTTGGTTTAAGGGCACTTATTTTGCCATTTTGACTTCTGCATAATTAGTTTCTCAAAATAAAAAGTTGGAGGGAAATGGTTATAAATAATTAGTGATTTGATTGCGAAGACTAACATATCAAGATATTACTAGTTATGTCTTACTTTTCCACAGGTTTGAAATCTAGATAAAGTTTAATATTAATTAGAAAGTGTGTGAAGAGAACCAGCATGAATCCTGAATGCGGCATTTCTAAGGGAAAGTATAATGCTGAATAACTAGTAAATATCTTGGCTTCACCTTTACTGAGCAAAGGCTAGTATAGCCATTATGCTGGTTAAAATCATCTTCTAGGACCTTCCCTGGTGGCGCAGCGGGTTAAAGCACAGCACTGAGAAGCTAAAGCCACTTCAGCATGAGTTCGATCCCTGCCCGCCCCAGAGGTGATCCACATGGCATGGCAGACCTCTCCTGACCTGCCCGCTGCTCCCCTCAGCAGTGTACTTCATCGATCTGCTTGTTCTGCTCCCCACTCCGTCTCTGGTGAATCCTCTCACCTTCCCAGCACCTCTGACCTGAACCCCAGTTCTGTATGCATAAATAAATTTTAAAAAAAAATCATCTTCTAAAATTCATGACAATTTAGTAATTGAGGCCCTCCCTGGTGGCACAGCAGGTTAAAGCACAGCACTAAGAAGCTTAAGCCACTTCCGCATGAGTTCGATTCTCGCCTGCCCTGGAGGTGGCCTGTACCCCAGTTCTGTATGCACAAATAAATAAATCTTAAAAAAAAAAAAAATTTAGTAATTGAAAAAGATGTCACAAATCAGTGGACATAGAAAAGGATTATTTTATAAATTATGCTGTGACAAATGTTCTTTGGGAGAAAAGGACTAAATGTCTCACACCAAAACAAACTCCAGCAGGCAGGTAGCAGTAAATAGGATTCTTGAGTAAACAGCAGTAATTTCTTGACATAACTGAGTATCTGGCTAGAAAAAAAGATTCTTAAAATAGAAGACCAGAAGAGCTGACCTTGATATAAAATTAATTTTTATCCATCTTTTAAAATTCATTTAACTATCACCATTTACTCTCTGTCAGCATGCTTTTGTCTGTACAGTCAGATCCGCCTCTCTGTGCATGGTTAAATGCTTAGCAGATTAATAATAGAGACCCAGAACTTCACTGGTGCTATTTTTCGCTGGTTTTACACATGGGCCCAAACACAGAAGCAAGTCTGACACTGGGTGTTCTTGTGTCAAATGCAACATGCAGGTTATTTTTGTGTGAGCCACCAAGAAATTGACTGTTATACTCACGAAAGTGTTGTTCACAGGTGGTCATAAGTTAAGAGAGTCTCTAACTGAACCCTGAGAAATACTTCAAGAATCCAGGCCATAGGATCCAGGTGCAGGGTGTTTAAACACCAAAGACTTCAGGCCTAATGAACCTGTTTCAACCAAAGTACAAATAAATAATATGCAGAATCATTGTTCTAGACCAATTTTGTTATGTGAATCTTATCTAGTGGTACTCACTATATTATTAAGTTTAAAACTGAGAAACTTAAATTTCCTTTAAATAACAATTATGGTAACAAGTATTTTTATGAAAACTCAGTGATGATGTTTTACCTTTTTTTTGTTGTACTACGTTAGTTTAGAAGTCAGATTCTCCTATCTGCTTCTGCATTTAAGCTATTGATAGAGTACATGTGATAGAACTTCTAGAAATTTCCACTACAGTTTTGGGAAACTAAACATGAAATAACATTTTATCTAATTGTTAAAATGAATTTAAAGTCATAGACAACTTGAAAAGATCTTGGTTCCCGAGGCCACATTCTAGGGACCATATTTGTTCATTATGCAGATAAATTCCATATTTTTACTTTCTGGATTTTATGTTCAATAATGATAAAATCACCTTTTTAAATTTTTTGACTAATCATTGACTTGCAGCACATTAAGCCTGTGTTTTAAAATTATTGTCTTTGTTTCTTCTGTCCACCCAGGTGCATTTGGTGTCAGAAAACAGTTCATGATGAGTGCATGAAAAATAGCTTAAAGAACGAAAAGTGTGATTTCGGAGAATTCAAAAACCTCATCATTCCCCCAAGTTACTTAACCTCTATTAATCAGATGCGTAAAGACAAGAAAACAGATTATGCCTTGGTAATTAACTTATTTTTCCTTAAGTAGTTGATTTCAGAAAGTTGTTTATTCACTGTGTAAGACGATTGCAGTTGCGGGGGACCGGGGTGGGGGGGTTCTTCCTGGCAGTCTAGGGGTTAGGTCTCACCACTGTCATCCCTATGGCCTGAGTTCCATCCCGGCCAGGGAGCTGACCCATGTGGCGCAGCAGACCTCTCCTGTCTCTCCCGCTGCTCCCCCAGCAGTGCATTTCAGTAGGTCCACCTGTTCTGCTCCCCACTCTTGTCTCTCACCGCCCCCTCTGGTCTATACCCCAGTTCTTGGATGTATAAATAAATAAAAATAAATCTTTTTAAAAATTACCTCTAGTTGCTTCAGGAAGCAAAATTAGAACAATGAATGGATGTTATTGAAAGAGATTTTTAAACTCAAAGTTAAGTCAGTTTTCTAATTATTTGATTATTAGAATGGGCTGCCTAATGGTAGTGAGTTCCTCCATTTGTACACTTAGACAGTGTGACTTAACCCAGAGTGATGTCAAAGAGAGCTACACGTTGTATGCAAGCTAAATTAGTCCCACTCCAAGATCTGTTTCCATTTGTAGAATTCTTTGTTCTTTATATGTATTGATTTGTACTGGGATAGATGTTTTCCTCTTAGCAGATTACTGTTATCAAGAATGAAAAATTTACAGCTCACCTTCTTTGAGACATTAAACCACCATATTACTGTTTTAGCTAGCCTCTAAGCTTGGAAAGGAATGGACTCCATTAATAATCCTGGCCAATTCCCGAAGTGGAACTAACATGGGAGAAGGACTACTGGGTGAATTTAAGATCCTCCTAAATCCAGTCCAGGTAACTAAATAAAAAAAAACCTTATTTTCTGTATTAATCCTTATTTTGTGCAACAATCATAATACAACAGAATTTTCCCTTCTAATTTGTATTTTTTTCCTTTCAACATCGCACAGCTTAATTGAAAATAACTCAAAAGGACAGAGAAAAATCACCTGCCGTTTCCACACAGTTGTTGTCATTCATCAGTGCCCTTTCCATGAATTATCTCTGCAGTCGTGTTGTTAGCATTACCCAAATAGTAATCTAGATACAAATCTGCATTATTTTCTTTACTTAAAAGCACATACTTTTTTCCATGTGTCTCCATAGTCTTCATAATCCTATATGTAATGACTAAGATAATTAATTGAATGAGCATGTATTTCTAGCCTCTTGCTATTATTGGTTGAGTATTTAGCCTCTAAGGTTGTGTGACTATATTCACTTCAGTGAATGCCTTTATATTTAAGGCATTTTCATCTTTTGCAGGATTTTCTGAGAGTATGTGTAACAATATTTTAAAAAAGAATATTTCTAGTACTATAGCTATCAAGAATCCTGTGTTTTTGTTTTTATGAATATTGCAAAATTGTTTTCCAGTAATATACACTAATTTTTACTAATAATGTTCTTAAACACCCAGTATAAAATATAGAATTTAGTTAAAGGTGAACTTAGCACATTCTGGCTTCATGTGAAAGGAAAGCAGATAGTATTATATAAATGGAGAAGAATTTGCATTTTGACACCGTTACTTAGGGGATTTGGGCAAGTGATTTAACCTGCACGTGCCTCTGTTTCCTGTCGCCAGAGTGAGACTCATGCTGCTAGGAGCGAGTGAGACTCATGCTGCTAGGAGCGGGTGAGCCACAGGAAGTGTAACAAGCATAGGCTGGGTCATGGCCAAAAATAAGCACACTGGCAGTGCTGTTGGGTCTCACTGTATCTGACTCATCTAGAGAAAGTCATCCTTGGAGTGGAGGACAGTATCCAGACAGTAATTCTTTTTCCTTTTCTTTCATTTCTAGGTTTTTGATGTAACTAAAACTCCCCCTGCCAAAGCCTTGCAACTTTGTACTCTGCTTCCCTATTACTCAGCTCGAGTGCTTGTTTGTGGAGGGGATGGGACTGTGGGCTGGGTCCTGGATGCAGTTGATGAAATGAAAATTAAGGTATCGGTCTTGAAGAACTGCTTGCCTTTCACAGCAGCACTTCCAAGTTACATAGTTATAGTGTGTGTATACAATATTTTGGTTATTTTTTTTATACAGCAGATTAGAAGACATTATTAGTTTCAGATAGCTAAGAATGAGACAGCTATTTTGATTTAACTGTTCATATAACCTCTAGTGAAACAACATACTTTTGGCATACTTGTCTCTTTTAATGTTTAGTCTTAAGTTTTGCCAAGTATTATCACCCTACAAATAGTCTGGAAAGAAAGATCTGAAATGTCTATCTTCTATATTATAGGGACAAGAAAAGTACATTCCACAAGTTGCTGTGTTGCCTCTGGGAACTGGCAATGATCTGTCCAATACCCTAGGTTGGGGTACAGGTTATGCTGGAGAAATCCCAGTCGCGCAAGTCTTGAGAAATGTGATGGAAGCAGATGCAATTAAACTAGATAGGTAAGATATAGTTCCCCCAAAAGTAGACTTCCTGAGTGTTAGGAGTATCATTTGGTTTATAAATAAAGACTTAGGTTGTTATAAATTTTATAAATTAAACTTTAAATTTTACAAATTAGAGTTTAAAAGTTACAAGTTTACTTTAAAAATGTAAATGTGAAAGACTCACCTGTGTGTACACATAGATACGGGTATTTTGTTGTATATTTTGTTATACAGGGATTGAAGTCTTAAGTTAGGCTTAGAACTTAAGATTTTTATACTTACTTAGATGTATTTACTTTTTCAAATGTTATTTTAATAGAGGAACCTCATCTACCAGGTATCCAGGGTTGACTAGCAACAATTATATTTAATTGGCAGTTCATTTGGTAATAATTACTAATATTTTTTAAACCTCATTTTTTAGATGGAAAGTTCAAGTAACAAATAAAGGCTACTATAACTTAAGAAAACCCAAGGTACGTTTTTAAGGCTTCAGTTGTGAACAGTTGCAACAAGTGTGATGGAGCAATGTGTTGTGCTGTAATGGGAGGTAGAGACTGGTGCTTACCTCTAGGGAGCCGGTCCTGGGGCAGAAGAGAAACCTATGTGCTCAGCTTTCAAGCTGGACTGTAGAAAGTGCTATGGAGAGAACAGGCTGTAGGTGTGCTTACTTCATCCCTGGAAATCCAGGCTGGAAAGATCTTTAAAGGGAAGTAACATGTCAGTTGGTCCTTACAAGGTAGATATGATTTAGACCAACAGAATGAAACAGGACTTTCTAGGCAGACGAAACAAAGACTAGAGGGCGCAAATCGCAGCTAGCAAAAAAATACAGAGAGAGCAGGTTTGTGTTTATTAGAATTTACTCTGGAGAGAGTGAGCTTAGAAAACTGCACTGGGGTAAGACAGGGGCTTTAGGATGAGGACATTCTACAAGAAGAATTGAGCAAGACTCGAAAACTGCAATATTGGGATTAAGGGAAGAAAGAAAATACATACTGCCATCAGATTTCTAGTTTTTATGACTAGATTTATGGAAGTGACATTAGCCAAGATAAAAAGTTACAAGTTTGAATAGGGAACAAAAGAAGGGGTAGGTTTTGGTCGTACCAACCCTGAGTTTGTGGTTCATTGAACAGGAAGTTGAAAATTTAGGCTTATCACTGAGGAACAAGACAGAGCTGGAAATGGAGACTGAGGAAACCAGACTGCACTGGAAAGTAGTATAATTAAGGGGAGAGGGTTGCAGTAGCGTGGGAAACTGAGCGTTGGAATAGCAAGTGAAAATGTAATGGAATTCAGGAGTGGAAAGCCTGGAGGCAAACTAGAGCCATTCTAGATACCATCTGAGGTACAGCATATTAAACAGAATAGAAAATGAAATTCCTTTGAGCTGAAACTTCTGGAAACTGAATAATATAAAATAGCTCTATTTGCAAGATACTAAATTTTCATAATGAACAAAGACTAAATGTTGTTTAATATATGACACGTCTTGGAACAAGATAATCTGTTGACTTGTTTTAATAGGAATTCACAATGAACAACTACTTTTCTGTTGGACCTGATGCTCTCATGGCTCTCAATTTTCACGCTCATCGTGAGAAGGCACCATCTCTGTTTTCTAGCAGAATTCTTAATAAGGTGTGTTGGATAAAATAACATTTCCTGCTTATCACCAAAGGTACAGTAAAAATCAATACAATTATATCTAGCACTCTTTCAAGTAAATTCAAATAGAGCTGCCTTATGGAAACATTTCCCTGCCGTTTTGTGTAAGACTGTCAGATCCTTAAGTGTGCTTTATTAAAATATTTTATAACTATTTTAAATTTTCAAATTCAAAGTGGGGATGTTTTACAGGATGTTTTGCTTAAATGACAATTAAATGAAATAGGTGATAGCTTATCTTTCCAAAACAGCTACTAGAATTGTAAGAAATTTAATGCAGAATAAATTTTAGGTGAAGTAGTAATGGAAAAATAGATTCCCTTAACTTGAAAAACCTCCAAAGGCAGATGGGTAAGAAAAGGGGTCACCTGTTGACCCGCAGCTCTCAACTGAGATCCTTGCTCTGGTTTATGGTACAGTTGATTCCTTTGGTAGAAGGTTTATTTTAAATGATTTGATGATTGAACAACAGAAGTTAAACTATCAATGTAAAATGACTTTATCCCTGTTTCCTTTTTATAAAATTTCCTGTTTATAAATATTTCCCTTTGGTTGCTTTATAGCTAAGGCAATAAGTATTACAGTATATACAGTTGATCATTTCTCAAAATTAAGTTTGTTTTTATCAAATTTTCTATAATCAGTAGTGATTGTGAAATGTTTGCTAAGTTACCTTTAACTTTCATTAACTAATCTGAAATATAGGAAAAGGTTGACTGTTTCATTTTAATCTAACATGTCTTGATAAAATGCAGCCTTTGGATAAGCTAAGAGAAAAAAACCTTCTAGCCACAAACTCTCCCACATTTCCCTGAAAAGGGGGGCTAATTAAACTCAAAAGTAACATTGCCCCTCTTACCATCCATCTCTAGCCCACCCTAGAGAAGTGTCACTCAGCAGTCATCAGGGAGCTTCAGCACAGAGTGTTTTTCTTCATTTTAGAAGCCTTGTTAGCTCGATTTAAAATCATTTTCTGTCTATATCTCATAGGCTGTTTACTTATTCTATGGAACCAAAGATTGTTTGGTGCAAGAATGTAAAGATTTGAATAAAAAAGTCGAGGTAAGTTTTTCAAGTTTTGGTGGTCTCTACATTGGGAAGATCTTCATAACAAAAATGTTGAATTTTCTGTTTCTGTATTCTGCAAACAAACATGGGGCATTTCTTTTAGACCATGCACTTTACTAAGCACTTTACAGACATTATCCCAGAGTAAATTCTTGCCACAACGCTGTAAAATAAATGCTGTTATATTCCCATCATAGATAAGAGAACATTGAAATTTTTAAGAAATTTGCCCATATTCACACAGTGCCCAAATACACAAGTAACCAGAATGTGAACCTAGCATTGCCTAACTTCATTGTCTGTTTAACCCTTGTGCCAACGGCCTTTGGCTATACATGATGACGAATTGAGGTCATTAACATGTCTGGCTCATGATGGAGACTCAGAGGAAATTTAAACCCAAAGTTTAATTCATATTACAGTTATTATGTATTTCTCTTATATACCAAAGCAAAATAAAAATACATGAGCAGTAAAAAAATGATACTGATTACTTACTACTAATGTATCCCTGGTATGATAGTATAGCAGTCTTGTATCTGTTCCAGGCTTCCTTACAAAAAGGACCTGCAGTGGTCAGTAATGACAGAGTTATTAATGCAGAGAAACTAGAACTAGTAAAATGGGAAGAGTCCAACAAACAGCTTGGGAAAAGAATGAAAACCTGAATAGGGAATGAGGAGCCGAGGAAAGATGCAGACACTTCCCTGAAGTTACACATGTAGGCACTTAGCTCAAAGCCCTTGCAGCTGTGACATGGAGAGAATGGCGGGATTTTTCATTTCGAAAAGTTTCCTCCTGCTTTATCATATTTCCTTTTCTCCTGTGTGTATACAAATCATATTTGTGACATCACCTACAAAATGCCAGATACTTTCCTAGGTTACTGGTATTCACTGATAAATCCTTTGCTCTCCTCAATGTACTGTCTAGCGAGAAGACAGACAATTAAAACACACTGCAGTGCAGTCTGAGAAATGATACATGGGAAGTATGCAGTCTTAGCATAGTAAATGAGAGCAGTACTTCACTCGGGCTAGAGAAGTTATCTTAGGAAAGTGACTACAAGGAAGGCTTCCTGGAAGAAAGGCAATTTGGAATCTGGAAATTAAGTAAGCATTAAGAAAGAAACTACTCCATGCATAAACGTATGTGCAAAGGCCCAGGGGCGAGAGAGAACATGAAGTATTTGAGTGAGTTCTAGCTGGAGCACAAAGTGGCAAGTTGCTGATGTTCTGGAGGAGAGGATAGAGGCCACATCACTGGACCATTCTGGCCTGTTAAGGAACTGGGATTTCTTCATGAGCTCTGAGTCAAGCCAGTGAAGGACTGTGATTAGAGCATGATACAGTTGCATTTATCGATCCCACTACTGAATGAAAGGTGAGTAAGCGGAGAGTCAAGTAAAGATAGGCAGGCCAGTTAGGAGCGTCCTAGGAAAGAGTATTCTGGCCTAGACGTCCACCAGGAAACCTCGAGGGGGCTTCCGAAAGAAGTGGGAGCTTTAGTAGCTTTTAGTGATCAGGTGGATGTGGAGGGAACAGCACAAAGGTGAAGGCAGCTACCCGGTCCCTGGCCCAGGCAGCCAGAAGGCTGTGCTTTCCTGGGAGGCAGATTGGAAGGCGTGATGGGGGGTTGCAGAGAAGACGCTGAACTCAGTCTTGTACCGGGGAATTTTAAGTGTCACAGTCAGTGGATATACAGATATGAACCCGTTGATACCCGAGCCAGCAAAATAGAGCCCTCAGCGCAGAGACATCAATAAATAGAGGAGCTGCTAAGTTTGCCTTCCAGAGTCTATAGCATGAGAAGAGAAAGGGGCTTAGCACAGGCTGTAAGGATTGCCTCACTGTGAGACAGGAAGCACTGTGAACCTCCAGAGAAGTCGAGCCCAGTTCCCAGAAAAGAACAGAGGAGAATCTTTCAGGAAAAGAGGCACAGGTCAGTGATGTTGAATCTTTCAGGAAAAGAGGCACAGGTCAGTGATGTTGAATCTTTCAGGAAAAGAGGC